ATAACACTCATGTGTATTGTGACTTAAACATGTAAATAACGCCCATGTCATGGGCGTTTTCTCTTCGAATTGGGTGGAAACCAGGCGAGTTTTACTTTCGAAAGAGACATCTTTTGATGGCATTTGACGTCCGGAAATAAAAAACACATGTCTATTTTCTTTCTTCATTTTCCGATTTAACATCTTTAGCCAGCCTTCCATTATTGAAGTTGTCATCCACGCTTTATTGTTGTTCCTCCATATCACCGGCAGCTTATTGATGTTTAGGTAGTGAAATATCTTAGCTTCGCCCATTTTCGGATTACCAATGGTGTTTCCATATCTCTCGCCATATTGCCACACCGCAGAACTGACAGTCTCTCTTTACTTTCCTACCGGCACACTTTTCACCTTTAACGTGTGATTTTCATGGAAACTCTGGAAAGGAAAGTTCCGTTTCATTTGCTTTAAAAATATTTTTGTGATCAAAACCTGATATCATGTTAAGCAATTCTGGTTGCTATTCATTCACTAGAGTCTCAGCAATTTTCGTTCCACACAACACAATATCTTACAGCTATCCAACCAACATGAAGATGCCTTAAACTTTTCGTTTCCCAGTTTTCGCCACAGCTGAAGCTTGGTTTTGAAGCATTGGCTCGGAAATGTGCAGATTTGTTGATATTGCACTCGTAAACCATTACCACGCTATTTCGTTTACTTAATAATCGGCTTTCAAATTCCCGCCAACGGCATATGCTGAATACATCTACGGTACATACTCTCCAAAATTCGATGTTTCATTAATGTTTGACACTAAACCTAATTTTGAGAAGAATATATTTCCCAAAGGGTCAGTCTTAAATAAAATTAACATTTTTGTATTGTGTTATTTTACTGTTAATGCAACATAGCAACATGAAAATATATCCAAAACATGAAAAGCATTGTAAAGCGTAGCACTGCAGAATTCCTTACGATCTTGAGAATACTAGTCATATTCAGCAGCGTGATTAACCGTATAATGTTGCAAATTAAACTTCATATGATTAAGCACTTTTTTGCAATCTAAACATTTTGCATAGCTGCCGGAATCTGCGAAAAGACACAGTTCTTCCCGTGCTGCATTGAAAACTGTCGGCGTGGACGCTTTGGTTTGCGAAGTGCCGATTCCACGACTGGAGTTATTGGGACACTATAACAGGTTATCACAAGACGCGGAACGTTGCGCTTCCTGCGTGGCGCTCCCGGTTCCCAGCACGGTTCCGTGCTCCCGAATAGCTCTGCTTGAGCAGCCCTTATCTACACCTATCCTTGACTTAATGATACACTGATAAACATGTGTATGACAAGGTTGAATAAAATTGAAGATCCCATTAACTCCATTGCGCACATGGTAGCCTTCAAAATTACAACGTATCAAAAACACGCGTTACAACGTACAAAAAATTACATCTCTCTAAACCGGAACCTGAAAAAGCCGGGAACCTGACTTAACCGGAAAAATTATCCGTCTTGTGAAGTTAAGTGGCACTTACCACAGCGTGAAACGGAACCCCTCCAACGCGGAAAAGGAACGGTTTTTCATGTCCCGCAGGGGAGGGGGGGGATCTTCTAAAACGGAATTACTATGAATTACTACTATGCTGTTGCAAAAAGGCCAAGCTTCGTGTTTCCTTTTTAACAGTTGATAAATAAGTTTTGATGAAAAGAAGTCGGCCCCACGGGAACAAACTTATTTGATTCGCGGGAAACCGAGCTGCCTCGCTCGGTGAGCGGACAAGTTATCCACCGGTAGACATTACGTTGGAAAATATAATTAGTTACATAGTTCTAATAATTAATAAACCATTTGTTTATTTCGACTATTGAACACTTAACGGTGTGTGAATCGTACGTTCTAAATTAAGTTTGCAAAGTAAAAGGAAATTAAGTTTTAAAAATTGTAATAAATTTACTACAACCCAAAAACCAAAATGAAGAAAAGTAGACGAAATCACGTTTAACTTTGACACGATTACAACCATAAATCTCAAAAACAAAACACAACTATACAATATACAAGGCGAACAAACTCATGTTAACAATCGGAACGTGAACTTTCTGAGCACAGTGTGATACGGCAACAGAAGAACGTGGCACCGCAGCTGTGGGTGATCCAACAGCCGAACGTATCCCTTTCTTCAAAAAAAAATAATTGTTGTTGAAGATATTCACCACAATTTGTGGTTAATACATAATATATTCGAGGTATTATGTATCCCCTCCCCCAAAAAAATAGAATTGTATTTTCACTATAACCAAGTTTGTCCGATAGTGGAATGGGGCAAAAGGGGCCAGGAGAGACAGTGTAAGCTTTTGTTTATATGCCCTACTATTCCCACAAAATCAGGAATGTAAAATTATAGCACCCTCGAAACAAAGAGGACAGAAGTAGATTTCTGCTTTGAAGCAAGTTCCTCATATCAAATCAGTGGTAGGTTCCACCCATCTTCTAATTCGCAATTCACACTTTTCCTGTTATTCTCAAATATTTCACACGAAAACGTATGTGGGTTTTTCACATTGATACAATATAAACAACCCACTAAGGGGCATAAGTCAATAAATAAATTGTCATTCACTTGCATTGCCTGAACGTGTTGTACAATCTCAGCATCGTATGTATGAGCCACTAAATTTTGGGGATCTTAAAGACTATTTGTGTAATACCGAAGACCAACTATTACGGAGGTCTTCAAATCAACTGATTTCTTCTGCCACCAGAGCTATTAAGTCGTGTCTCGATTGTATTGAAATGGCATCAAATGTTCCTTACAACCTGCCAAGCAAAAGATATTGAAAATGGATATAGATTTATTTTGTAAAGAAAACCAATAAAAACTGTATGTGACGTTTTCTTGAGTTCCGGAATCCCTTCCCATCATTTTAACTATAAATAGTTGAAAGACGAGTAAAAGTTAAAGGAAAATAAATTAATTAAATTGAAAAAAGCGCTAGATTAGCAACATTTGAAAAACTAGACATTTTCGTTCCCGAGTTATTGATAACATTTGCAACGGTAAACGAACTGACTTTTGGATTTTTCTGTATTGATAAACAAATTAGTAACTCACCCTTACCTCTACTCCTATCAGTATAAGCAAAAGGAGAGATCAACAAAACGTGCGCATAGTGAATCTTAGGTTTCATAAAAAAATATTAACATTAAAAAACATTGGGGATAATAAATATTTTATACGCGTGACGTGATATTGAAATTCATTCATGAAAATTTGAATTCAGAACTGGGAACTGCCAACTTTTTTCCAAAAGTTATAAAAAAGTGCAATACCGATTATATATTATAATTAAAAAAATTAAAATAATAGTTAAACAATATTGAATTCTGGTTAGGTTGGTGTTGAAAGTTCCTCCACTCGTTGGAATATTAGAAACATATTTGGAACTCTATGAACTTTTTGAATTTTTTCCAACGATTATTTAAGTTTAGTGTAGGTAATATTTCTCTCGCTAATTACTAAAAATTTCTAAAATAAATATTTAAAAAACCGACAGCTAATAAAAATACATGGATGAAGCTGCGCTAAAGATAGCGTGCACAGGGGATAGAAATTCGTTGGCACTTTTCATAACTGATCAAAGGGCACATGGAATCAAATGTTTCATACATTTCATTTTATTATAAAGCAGCACCTTAGCATTATTGCTAAGGTCATGATAATATTTACTTCGAACCGTTTTCGAAAAGAGAATGTAGCAACTTGACGTGTGGTGGTAAAATTGTATTTATTTAATTCAATTTGTGGACGAAATTCGCTGCCAGAACGTAAATAAATCGCAAGGAAGCAAATATTGTAAATAACAAATGTGATATTTTCTCCCAAACGTGACATCAAACACTACACCACACTACACTTCCTTATGTTTATCACATAGCAGCGCGCTCTGTTGGTACAATTTGGAAGTTCTTCCATTCCGACTGATCAAGGAGGTTATAACCTTGTTCCAATCGTACGCGTGCAAAACTTCTTCTGTCTTCTGTATTCTTCAAAGAAGAAATAACTTGTATTTTCAAGCAGTGATTATAATACCGGATTACGAACGTGTTGGTGTTAGTAAACGGTGTGGTAGCGTGCTTATTCTCGCTGTATCTTCGATATTTGTGCGTACTCTTCCACATTTATCCGAAATATGCGATCAAGAAGATGTTGCGTGAACGATTGTATTAATTCGAAGGCGAAAACAGCTCTTAAAGCGAGGCTGTATGCTTTCCCGCGAAATGTTCGGAAGTGAGTTAAAATGACATTTTTACTGTGGTCAATACATTCTACTACATAATGATGGCAAAAGTCATGGTCAATATTATCAACCTGGCCAATCTTGGCATAGGCTTGGCCTCTCAGCCTGAGGGAGTTCCTGCGTTTTTTGGAAAAAAAGTTAGTGAATATCATCCAAATCGACCTCTATTCTGGAAACTAAAAAAATCCAAAATTTACATTTACAATGGGCTATGTTAAAGAGTTGGGGTGAGTGGCAACATTCCAATGAGTTTTTGGTACAAAAAGGCAAAGGAAATTATGTATTTCAAATTTTTTTACGTATTGAGGTTACGGAGGAGATTCGCCGCTGGTTAGGAACTGTTTATGTGAACAGTCAACTTGCAAAAATAGGTTAGGATTTCGTGATTTCATTCTGGTGTTTTCTGTGTGACCCAAAATTGTCAAAAACGCCAAAAGGTTCGCCCTCATGCAGGCAGGTGACGCTAAAGACAAGTTTGGTCTTATTAAATTGTATTATAAATTGATATCATTTTGAAAAATTGTATACCCTCCCCAATGCACATGTTTAATATTTAAGGTGCAGGGAATGGCTGAAGTCGATAGGAGATCCTGTTCTTGCACAATGTACCTGGGAAAACCTAACTCGAAATAAGTTTGTCTGCAAACTGCATTTTTTTCGCACTCACCTGACCTTCACGGATAGGACTACGGAGTTGGCAGTTCCTTTGATTTTCTCAGAACCTCGAACTTGTCTTCCTGAAAGTGCTCTACAGCAATTTGATGAAAGTGTGCCACCTGATAGAAGTAAGTGCTACTCTATCGTGTGTGTGTGTGTGTGTTTTAGTACTAATGAATTTTTAATGATGATAAGTATATAAAATTAAGCGAGTTATGTAGTTTAGTATAATAGAGGGATGTTTGATATTGTCTCAATGGATGTATTCCTGTACCTTAGAAATTATAAATCAAAGCACTGAACCAGGAATCTGTCTGTCACATTGTAACCATTAGAAGAGTGTACTCGAGCTGATGTGATAATTATAACTAAGTTATTAAAAGCTAATAATAAATAAAACATTCGACTTCAATTCAAAAGTACTTCAGGCAATTAGAAGGGAAGGAAGCTTGATTAGGATAAAAATCTTGTCTTCAACAGGCTAAATTACTTATTCTATGAATCAGTACATGGAGTTAAGTTGTTTGACACTGCCTTTTATCCATATCAGTCAGGGGCTCAGCACCATTAGTAATGGGGTTCCCAGACAGTCACACATCCTGTATCCTGCAGTGTCTTGAGCTGCGTAGTTAAGACACAGGGTAGTAGCCAAATCGCAAAATGTGATACCTAGTTACCCATATAGTTAACATAACACATTTCCTATTGAATTTGCTGTATCATTATGACAAGAAAAAAGGTGTATAGTTTTCTTTTAAGGAAACATTTAGTCTGAATCCTACCATTGAATACAAACTTCAATAATACTAAAACTGGAGTTACAGGTCATATGATTCGTGAAAGCAGTAGATGATGTGCTGGATATTGTAAAGATCTGTTTGGTATGTGTGTGTTTTGGTAGCTTGATGATGTGTCACTACATGGTATTCCTTTAGCATGTTCAGGGATTAGTTTGGAAATAAGTTGTTGAAGGGATTAAATCATGTATTTGCATTACTTTGACTAAAGAAATTTTGTGTGGGATTCAGAACTGCTGGTCATAACCAGGGGCTGTATTTTATTGGATATGCAAATTTTCTCTCTAGATAGAAAATATTTTCATTTGGTGTGTGCATGGAATATTATAATTATAATTGCTGATTAATTAAAGTGTAGATATTTCTATCTTTCACATGTTAATTTGACTGTACCTTTGACCCATTAGCTCAGAAACTATTTAACCTAGTGTTGTAAAATTTTGGAAGCAGCATAGTGGAAATATTTGAAATAAATGCAAGCATTCTTACATCTTTTGAATAGTTTTTTATAATTCACAGCATATTCGAACAAAGGTGAACAAATTTACATTAATTTTCTTGTGCTTTTTTGCAAAAATCCTGAAGTACTGCTGTACTAATTTTGCTACCATATATTCATTATTACTTAATTGACCAATAAGAAATGGAAAATTATCACTTAGTAGTTTCAGAGATAATAAATTTGTTAAAAAATACTGTTTTCTAGAAATAACTGTCGAAGTTAATTCCTTTGAAACCAGTTGCTTTGTCATTGTAACAAGTAAACTATTTTCTCTGCGTAGTGACATATTGTTTTATTCACAAAACTAAATATTTAGAAAATGTTAAAATCTTAAAAATGTCAAATTCAGATGGATGCATGATGTCTCCCCTTAAACATGATTTAATTATGACTAACTTGTGCATCTTACCTCAAAACTTATTGTTACTCATGTTGATTTACTTCGTTTTAATAAATTTAGTTTTTGTGTTATAACGTGTAATATTTTACAGTATTGTTTCATAAAATAATGGCGTTAAAAAGAATTTAAGTGAAACAATCTACAAATTCAAATCGTTTAATAGCTGCACTTTTTGTAAGTAAGTTACAAATATTTTAAAGTGAATTTGGTTTTTTTAAGTTTATTTGTTCACAAAACAAGAGTATTGCATGTGTTTAATAATAAACTTAAATACTGAGTTCATCTGTTTTGTTGAGTTGTGTATCATTCTTTAAAAATACTAGTATTGAGGTCTTAACACTTTTGGATAATAGAAGTTTGTGTACACAGTCAATATAATTCTGGTTTGCCTTGTGTATGATTGTGTTAATAGGGTTGTATAGGTGATCTTGTCTCTCTGGAAGGTGTGGATTTGCCTGTGTATCTCAGATTTTACTTTCTCACTTCTGCTTACGCAGTAGAGAAATTATTGTTATCCTGCTGGAAGAAAACAGCAAAGTTCAACAGAAAATTCTCTTACTGCTGGTCCTTGTAATGAAAAAGTGAATAAATTTTGTCCCAATACTGTATAGTGAATTACTTCCTCCAACATGATGTCTAGTCAGAATCCATGTTTGGTGGGACCTTGATGTCGCAAAATCTATTGACAGGAAAAAGTCTGCTTATCCATTAGTGAACAAAGCTAGTGGCTAAAATGTAAGCAGGATTTTGACCATAATTAATATTCCTCAATCAATTTGGCAGATGTTGTGGCCCCTTACATCTGGAACAGATGTTTTTATTTTTGGGGGTTATGTTGCTTGAACGTGGGACATTTTCAAAAAAAAGGAACCAAATTTTTTTAATTAAATTTTGACATTGGATAACCTAGAGGACACTTAAGAGAATGGTGCAGGTCTTATTTTTGTTAAATATTTTTCACTTCTAGCTTGTTCTATCATCATGTGTATATTCAAATGAATGTGAAAATTTGTGGGGGAAACTACAAAAGTTTTTAGTTCTTAAAACCATGCCCGCCAAATAAAAGGAACTATGTTTAAGCATATAATCATTTTACGATTGGAGTTTGAGTGATTTGCCATTTCCTTTATTATGCAATTATCTGTTTCATGTTCTGAATTCCTCTGCTTGCTAATCAGAAAGCCTTATGTAACAATTATATTTGGTGGAAATTTCGAAGAGTTTTACTAGTTATGTCTCTAATGGTGCCCACACAATAGAAACTGGTGGTTGAAGAGATTTGCAACATTTTCCAGATAACTTGCTTCTGTTATCCTTTAAAATAACATTGTCTACAAAGTATGGAGATGACGTGGTTGTATTTTTTACAATATTCCACATTACTTTAGATTCGATACTAATGTTCATAATATCCTGATTATTTTTCGTTAACATAGTTATTACAAAAATATGTGAATTATTACACAACATGTACAGTTGTTGGTCAAATTATTACGATCGCATGTATTTTTGAAAATAATACAATTATTTACTACAGCTATTTATTCATGGTCACATTTTGTGAACTTGAATGTGTGGTACACTAATATGCACTTATTATAGATTATTTAACACATTACATAAGCAAGGTTATTATAAAAATCACAGGTCACAGAGAACTTTCCAATATTTTATGCCACCTGTTGGCACATAAGGGCCCAAATTTAAATTTGGCGCCACGCTTGGAGCTCATTCAGTTTGGCTACGCTTTGAAGGTATTGGAGTAGAAAAGATTATGCATTTCAAACTTCCCACGTGCGATTAATTTTGCCCCCCCCCCTCCCCTCAAACGCGAATTTTCACAAACAGTAGAAAATTAATTTGGTACGAAGCTTTTTGTAATAGATCTTCAACTACTTCCTAAAACTACCGGAAGGTCGCACCACCTCGTTGCCTGCCAGGATGAATAGTTTGCACATTGTAAGAGATTTCCCGGAAACCAATTTTTTCGGCATAAGATCTGACAAAATCGCATTGTTTGAGAATGTGGAGCCGCGAGCAGATTCGTAGCAATCGTGTAGGAAGTTAAGCAATATGCGTATTGGGCGCATGTTGGTAGATAAGTTTGGCAGCAAGCATTCATGAAGTCTCCGTGAACCAGCAATTCGAAACGCCGCAAAAAGCAGCGTGCACAAGCACCAAGCGTGGAATTCGGAAGAAAGTTTATTTTCGTCCAGACAGAGGTAACCAACACCTAATGATTCTTACGGCAAAGGTTTATCTCGTCAATTATGTGTCGTCTTTTCAGAGGACTCTCGCCTGACGAGAACACAGCAAGACGAGTCACAGATCTCTTGTTGCAGTTTCTGCAAATGCTTTCCTAATCATCTAAGTAATATTTCGCACCCTCAATACTACTTTTCAATTTGATCCATGTTCCTTTTGGGCATGCTCTCAATATACATTTTTGCAGTCTCCTGGACATTCAAATCGTTGTTCCAAATGTTTTGAAGCCTTTTCATAAAGTCAGTTTTTTGGTGACCAATGCCTTTGCCATTTTGTGTTTCATCAGATGCCAAATGTTCTCGATAGGGTTAAGGTCAGGAGAATTACCAGGTCATGGCAAAACCTGTACTCTTTCATCACCTAGGAACTGGGTGATACTTCTAGCCTTATGACAGGGGGCACTATCATGCATGAAAATGTAGTTTTTCATCATTAGGAAACCATTCCTGGAGTTGTGGCAACAATTTCTTCTGAAGTCCTTTTTTTATACTAGTCCTGACGCATGGGATCTTCCACAAAATACAACATCTGTGCCTTTAGGGCTGATTATGGACCAAACCATAATTTATGCAGGGTGATTTAGTCTGAACAATGCAGTCATGATGAAATTTTTCTCTGGATCATTTTTCAACAACTGGATATATCTGCCAAAATCTCGAATGTTGATTCATCTGAAAAACGTACCTGCCAAAAAGGTAGGGCTCTTTCATATATTTATTTCAATTTTCTTTAAGGTTTTGAATTCATCACAACACTGAAATTAATACGTTGTTACCTTATTTCACTCATCAACGGTCATACGGTGATTGTCTTGTACCTCCCGAAGTCTCTTAAATAAAATAGCTGGAGTAAGTCTGGGCTGGCCTACATGCTTTAATTCCTTGAACAAGCAGTTGATGCACAGTTCTTTTCGAAATACCGATGCAATGCTTGAACAATCATCGTAATGACTTTACTGCCCTACTTTCTATTTTTCAAACATGTATTCCAGATTTGTCTATCGTCCCTTCATGTTGTAATTAGTTTTCTTACACATGCCACTTTTATGAGCAGAAGTTAGGGGCTCTACAAGTAAGATTTTTTTCTTAGCTTTAGTTACTGAGGCCTGAGGTTCATGCATAGATTGTTATATTTGTATCTGAGAATAACAAGAAGGTTGAATTT